AATAAAAATAAAAGCCTGATATGCTAAGTGTCCGGTCGTCCATTCAACCAATCAAAGCGTAATATGCTAATGCCGCTCAACTGCTAGCTATGACGTACACTAACCACCAGGGGGCAGGTGCTCCGACTGGTAGGTCAGCTTGCTGCTGGGGTCCAGCCAACTGGGGACTGAGCGAGATGGGCCAGACACACCCTGGAGCTTCCAGCGGTCCCTCCCCGGCTGGCCAACCTCCCACATCCCTCCCTGGCCCTGATTGCACTGGTGGGGTCCCTTGGCCTGGCCTGCGCCCTCTCACAATCCAGGACCACTCAGGGGATGTCCGAGAGTCGGTTTCAGCTCATCCCACAGGCCAGGCCAAGGAACCCCACTGGTGCACGGATTCGTGCCCCGGGCCTCTAGTCACTAAATAAAAGTTTTAAAAAAAAGTTGTTTCACAGCTAGTTCACTCACTCTCCCTAGGAAACCTCCCTGACTTCAGTTCTCTCAGCAAATGACTGTGCGTTCTTATCATAATACTACAGGTTCCCCTTTTTGCCTTGGCTGCCAGGAAGCTTAGATCCAAGTTCCGTGCTTCCATGGGGGCCTCTCTGCTTCCTTTGTGGGACTCCTGAGGTGTCATATTATTTTTTAAAATAAAGTTTTACTGATTTCAGAGAGAAAGGAACAGGGAGAGAGAAAAATATCAATGATGAGAGAAAATCATGGATCAGCTGCCTCCTGCACACCCCCTACTGCGGACAGAGCCCACAACCTGGGCATGTGCCCTTGACTGGAATCGAACCTGGGACCCTTCAGTCCACAGGCCGATGCTCTATCCACTGAGTACCACCGGCCAGGGCGAGGTATTGTATTCTGCAGAGCACAACCTAGAAGTGGCCCCTGCCCTACTGAGGGCTCGGTGAGATGACCTTCACCTCTCAAGGCCAAGCCCTACTGCTCCCCACTTCCTGGAAACTCCCCCCCACCCGCCTCTCTATCAGCCTGGGAGGCTCTCTGAGCCTCGGCGTTCTCTTCTACAAAAGGAAGAGGAGAGCCATTGCCCTG